CAAACCATGCTATGGATCGGCCTTCCCCGCAAGTCTCGCCTATCTTAGGGCTACGTAGGTCCAACTCCTCATCGAATCCCAGCGTGCTATCCTTTCCTAATTTCTTATCATGCTAACTATGAGATACAAGCCCCCGCCCATACTCCGCTAACTAGGAGATATGGACCCCCACCAATACTCTTCTAACTAAGCTGCTAATGAATGCTACGACTTGCCCGCGGTCTTACAACACTTTCCACACTGTCTAACTGTTGGTGAATGTTACAGCTATCGTGTATTCTTACATTCTTACTAACTCGCGTCCTGCTGAGAAAAATCTCCAACCAACCATCAACTAATCATGAGCACACGAACTCAACGTCGGGAAGTTTCCCAAACTCCACAATCACACGCTCCTTTATCCAAATAGCCACTTAGGCTGCTTTTCTTCTCAACAAGATTGTTAACTTATCCCATTTTTGCACTTGCTTCTGTTTCTGACTACTTGAGTGGTTCTCCCCCACTTTGATCCAGCTAATTTCTTACAATTCACAGCTTGGAAAGGATTCCCAATCCTTCTTACCATCCAATGATCAATCTGTTGGCAATCCTACACTCACCACTGCTGGTGATCTAACTCATCGATACCAATCAATACCCCTCTTTGGAAACTAGCAAAACACATCCTGAGTTCCAACCACGCTTGCTACAGTTACTGCATCCTGAGAACCTACTCTAGAAGGGAACGTCTCCAAATTACTACTTTATAATCTATGTAGTCAATTGCGGCGCTATAGCGGCGCTATAGCGGTTAGCGGAGGTAAAGAAACGCTATTTCAAAATAGCGGTTTAGAATAGCGGTGGCGCTATTAGCGTCGCGATTTACTGCTATTTAACGCGATTATGGTCACCGCTATAGCGGCGCTATAACCGTTATTTGAATAAAGTCCACTTTTGGGCTATTTTACATTAAAAAAACATTTTTTATGCCATTCCATTGAATAAAATTGTTTTTTCTTAGCCCAAACAAAACTTTTGTGTCATTCCATTGAATAATATTGTGATTTTGGGATTGTCATTACATCCATTGAAACCATGTATGTGTTGTCTTGTTAATTGTGTTGAAGACTTGAAATACTACATTATGGTTAAATATCAAATTATTTAATCATTTTATTTGCTAATTGTGATTGTGTTGTAGTATGACAAAATGGTAAGCATTGCCTATGTTTTCTTGTTTGATGTGTTAAAATATGATTAACGTTGACATTGGTAACCGGTCTATGAAGTATGATTAACTAATTAAGTAATTATGGTATGTGAAGTATGATTAACTAAATATGATATGTGAAGTATGAGTTACTGATTAACTAATTAACTGGATCTGGTTGAAATTTAAAGTATGATTCACTGACTAATACTCTAATATATATAAATTGTACATCATATAAAAAACGCTATATCGCCGTGAGAACCGCGATTTCAAATAGCGGTCAGTGACCGCTATTATATTTTCGACCGCGACAACTGCTTAGTTTATAATACATGGTATGCAAATGGCATATAACTCAATCACAAGCAGGAAACAAAATTCTAAAGTACATTCACAAATATCAATGTAGTACCATAACAAATGAATCATAAAAAATAAAACTAATTGGAAAGTGAAAGATACGCGCCTGACACATCAGGGGTTGCTCGCGTCTCCTCTAAAATCAACTGGAATGCCCTACTCCTTTCTGCGGGCACCTTTGTCCGGCCCTGACGGCCATCGGTGATCCTCAAAGTAGCAGGTGCAGGTGCTATCACCTGTCCTGATGTAGCCAAACTCATGCATTGGGCCTTCTTGTGGCCCTTCTGACTGTAATGGAAGCATATCAGATCTAATCCCAGGGTGGTGGTAGCAGTACAATCTCTGCTAAAGTGACCAGTTTGGCTGCACTTGAAGCAACCAGAACCACCACCGTTGCCACTCCTACACGCACCCTCGTGCGGTAGACCGCACTTGCCACAACGACTGCGGCTCTAGAAGTCTCTCGATCTCGAATCCGACCCCTTGGGTCTCTTACCTGAACCTGTGGACAACTGACGCTCATCCGGTTTCCTCTTCCTCTCGAACTCCAAGTCAATCTCTCTTTCTTTGGCTCGAGCAATCATATCCTTTAGCATATTGCAGCTGTATCGGCTCACAAACTTCCTGATGTTTCTCCTCAGCATCTCGTGATATCAAGTCTTCTTCATCTCCTCGTCCGCCACATACGGCGGAACAAGAAGGGCTCTCTCTCTCTAAACTAGGGATGATATGTTTGTCCCAAATCCCGATCCCGTACCGGTACCAAACCGTACTGAATTTAAAAATATGGTACGGTACTTGGTACTCCAAATACATGAAATTCGGGAATCGTTACCGCCGGTACAGGTACTAGTACCGAGTACTGGTACCATTCCCGGTACCGGTATCGGTGATGTTAATTCGGTTCGGTACTCGGGATTAACTTTCGAACAAATTCAGTATTTGGGAAATCGGCAACGGTATGGGTCGGTACTGGTTCCGTCCCATGCTCATCCCTACTCTAAACTTGGCGGTGATCTCCGCCACAGTCTCTGTAGTCTGATGGAGGTCCTGGAACTCCCGTGCTAACTGTTGCACCTCAATAACTGGTGCAAACTCGGCCATGAACCTGGCCGAGCAGTCACTCCATTCCATATTTAATATGTAAGGTAATATATATGTAAGGTATTTATTAAAAAATATTTATACATGTAATGTATTCAATACATTAAAACTTCATTAATTTTAATAATTAAAAAAAATTCTTATTTTTCTTATAAATTCAAAAATTTCAAATTGTTAAAATTTTATATTTAAATTTTTTAAAAAATAAACTCATGTAATACATGGATCTCGCACCTAATATATTATATATTATTATAATTTATAAACAATACCATGGTTCGGTGACTCAAGCCTAGCTTTTTTTTCTTCTTTGCCACGTGGCAAAATGTATGGTGGGGGAGATGGGTAGGATGGTAAATTCAAATAAAGTCCTACTGTTCGTCTGTTCGGGAAATGAAGCTGAGGCCGTTATCTTTCCCTCTTAATCTTGACGTACTCCTGCCTAATAAAACTAGTGGAAAATTGAAAATTCTTCATCGGTTTGTTGTAGAAGTTGGTGAATCTTGGATTCATACTAATAAATGGTGTTGGGGATTACAGTTGCAGCTGCCGGATCTCTTTCCTCATTCTTTACCCCTAAACCTTCTTCTTCATCGGTACCCTTAACTTCACCATTTACTTATTGGGATTTCTGCATAGTCTTTTATCAAAACCTAAAATCGGGTGTCCTCTGATTTTACAGCAATGGATGCACAACGAAATCAAACCATCCCCAACCCTACATACCATCTACGCATCCTCTTCCTTATCTGGTTCGTAAGTCGGAATCTTTATTCCTATTATCGTCTATCTTACTTGTCAAATTTCCAATTTGCTATAAATAATTGCTGGATGCAGAAGACAGTGCTCGAATCAATGATACTAAATCTTCCAATATCGATCGAAGAAAATGGTTGGTCTCATCGGTTGGGCTATTAGCAGTATCACTGGGAAATCCTTTAGGAAATGGCGTTGCAATGGCGTCAAATTTTGCTGAAAGTAACCTTCTTATCCCTCATACTTTTTCAAGATTCCTTCGTAGAGAAGGAACAATTTAACAACGGTTAATACTGGTGGTTGTGCAGTGCCAGCCCTAAAGGGGAAGGATTATGGGAAAACGAAGATGAAGTATCCTGATTATGCTGAAACAAGCTCCGGACTCCAATACAAGGTCTTTGTAAAGAGGATAATTTCGTAATTTCCTTTTTTTTTTTTTTTTCTGATTATCCCACATTCCCACTCTCATCTCTTTTAATTGGAAACTGTGAATGAAAGCAGGATTTACGAGCAGGAAGTGGTGCAACACCAAAGATTGGTGACACTGTAGTGGTATGAAGAAAGAAAACAAGATAGAATAGAAAAGCTTAAAATACACAAAGAAAGTTGTAATGAAATGAATGATTTTAGGTTGATTGGGATGGTTACACGATTGGATATTATGGGCGCATATTTGAAGCTAGAAACAAGACCAAGGGTGGTTCCTTTGAGGTATACATATCATACTTATCATAATGCATCAATGGGTTTTCTTGATTGTAAACTTATAAATAACATTTCACTTTGCAGGGTGATGACAAGTCCTTTTACAGATTCCGATTAGGTTCCCATGAGGTAATACCAGCTTTTGAGGAAGCTGTTGCAGGCATGTCTTTGGGTGGAATCAGAAGGTGAAGTATCAAGTTCAATGGACACAATTATGTATTTCAAGTGTTATGAATGTCAATGATGATAGTTTGTTTGTTATATATTATATTCAGGATTATTGTGCCACCAGATCTTGGATACCCTGAGAATGATTATAACAAGAGTGGTCCAAGACCAACAACATTTTCGGTACCTTTGATGCTTTTTGTGTTAATAATAATAATAATAATAATAATAATTAATATGTAAAAGTGTCTTCTAAGTTGTAAGACTGACTAGCATATGCATGTTCCACAGGGCCAAAGAGCATTGGATTTTGTGCTGAGGAACCAAGGATTGATTGATAAAACCCTTCTGTTTGACATTGAGCTTTTAAACATCATACCCAACTGAGGAACATCTCCAATATACACCTTTCTTTCTTTCATAATTTATACAAGTCTTGTACTACTTATATAATGAGACTTGCAACTTTCTACATTTTCATCATTCGGTTTTCTTTCATACAAGTGTTGTATTCCGTTTGTTGGTACAAAGAGTCATAGAAACAAATGTTGTGTTTCCCTGATTGGTTATTCTCATGCTACATTGTGTACATTGTTAAGGAAGCTCAAAGTGTGAGGCTTAAGATGATTGTTGCACTTTGTAAAAGAGTGATGTTAAAGAATATACTCCTAAGTTACATATGCTGGAATCAGTCCATATTTATTCACATTTCCATGGCTTTGTTTAATCAATCAACACTAGACTTTTTTAATATATGGTCTACAATTCCTAACTTGAATAGCATCAAGAATTGAGAAGGGTTTAGTGGTTTGTGAAAACATCAATGTCACCCACATAACCAACATCCAATTTCTGAAATTGAACTTAAGTAGACCTCAATGTTAAACACTCCCATTAACACCAAAATCTAATGTTAAAAAATGGTGGAAAAAAAAAACAAAAAAACAGACACAAAAGCTTGACCAGTGCAATTGAAGAAAGCTGAAAGATACATAATCCAAAGACATGAATACCACTAACACACCAACATTTAGAAAAGAAAACCAAAAAGATGAAACCTTAATCTATTATAATCACTGCAACACTTTTCGCTTATAACGAACCATAACCTTCCCTTTGACACCAACCACCATAGCGTTCCAGTCGATCTCCGGGAATGGAGACACCAATTCCAACTCAAAGTTTCTCAACAAATGACTCCATATCGCTTTTATTTGCAGATAAGCAAATGGTTCTCCAAGACAACCATGTCTTCCACCACCAAAAGATATATACGAAAATGCCCCTGAAGCCTTGTCCTCTTCTCTCTCCGGGCCAAATCTATCTGGGTCATAAGTGTCCGGATCCTTGAAGATATGTGGGAGTCGATTTGCAAAGGCAGGTGACGTAGCAACTATGTGGCCTTTTGGAATGTCATAATCCTTGCCTTCTTTCGTTGTCACTGTGAAATCACTGTGTGAGCTTCGCAAGAGCATGATTAGAGGAGGGTGGAGTCTCAACGCTTCCTTTATGCATCTGTATAACACATTCATCTCCGACAAGATATCATGGTCAACCTTGTCGCCGTGTTTTTCCACAAGATCCTTCTGTTCTTCAACCACCGCCGCCATGTGTTTCTGGTTGCAGAGGAGGTAAGCTCCGGTCCATGTTGAGGTGATAGAACTCGTGTGCTGCCCAGCAAAAAGAGCAGCGATGAGAAGTCCGGTGACCTCCGATTCAGATGTAGGGCGGCCGTCTTTGTACTTGGAATCGATAAAGCACTGTAACATGTCGTTCTCAGATTTCCCGCTTTGTTTCCGGGAAGTTATGATGGTTGCGAAGATTTCTGCAAGTTTCTTCCGTGCTTGGTCGCGGCGCCGATGGGCTGGGATGGGGAGATACGGGAATATGACACTGATGGGTAGCATGCCGTTATCAAGATCATGGAAAAGAGCAGACACGTCATCGAAGAGCTTGTTGCGAACCTCTTCACCCAATAAACATCTACTGGCTGTAAGAATGATTAGGTGTTCTAGTTCGAGTTTCAGATCCACTTCACCACTATCGCCCCATTTTGAAAAGAATTCCTGCAAATTTTCAAAACCAGAGAATTATTATAAACTTGGATTGATGTAATTTTGGGGAAGAAGAAAGTAGGAAAGTAAAGTACCTCAGCTTCGAAGATCATGTGATCTACATATCCTTTAAGTTTATTAACTCTGAGAGATTCAGTGAAGAACCTAAACTGTTCCTGCCTGACGGAATAATCCACATCGAACACAACGCCGGGGCCAAAAGTCGGGACATTGAACTGGTAAACCTCCTGTTGGCTGAGATCCGACTCAGAAGCTTTAAAGAAATGGGCTGAAACTTCAGGTCCGATCAAGAACGTGATGTTTTTGTTGACAAGGTTGAGTGTGAAGACGCTTCCCAATTTAGGGTATTCCTGTCTGAGCATGACGATTGGCCCTTTCAAGAAGCGTAACAACCCTCCGACAACCGGAAATGCTTTGACGACGGGCGGAAGACGTTTACGGGATCTGGGGATCAAGAAGGCAGCGATGATTTTGGCAGCCACGAGAGTGGCGATGAGGAGGGCACCCACATTGAGTAATTTGGAGTCGACTTCCATCCTTCAATCAGGGAGGAACAATCCAAGGTCAGAAAATGAAAACAGAGGACATGAAGATTGAAATGAGCGATTGTAAATCTTGAAATTTAAAGAGATTATTGAATCAAACCTGATAACGGGAGAGTGGCGATGGACCAGGGGCGTTGAGGGAGGCACTAATGCTGTGACTTAATGAGTTAATTGGTATTTAAATACTTCTAAAAACCGAATTTTCTATGGGCCAAACCGGAAAACAGGTGGAATCTTGATCCAGTTTCACTCCTCAACTGGACTCACTTCTTCAATAAATATTTGAATCATAAATTTTGCAACTTTCTCACAAAAGATTTCAAGAAAATTGATTGGTTAAAAATTAGAGCCCTAGTGGTAAATTGGTAATTTAAAAAGAATCGTGTCACGTGAGCAACCAAAAGCCAAACACACACATAGGCATATATTTGTAGCACCAGGTTGTTTTATTTTGGATTTTAGCTCCAGTCTACGTGTAGAGCACCATCCTCCAATATAACCATTCTATCCTTACAAATCACAGACTTATGACGGCAACTTTCTTTTTTAGATATTGTTATTATGTTAATATTCCAATGGATAAAATTTATATGGTCCTTATGATTTCTCAATTTTTTTTAATAAAAAAACCAAACGTTTGTCTACTTAATAACTCAAAAAATGTAAATATTAACATAAATCACAATGCCTTGAACAAAAAAACTGATACTCAGGCTTTTGAGACTTTAATCGTTGATTCTCACAATTTTTACTGCTAGATCAAACATATGGGGATATATGAAACAGAATGACAAAAATGGAAACATTCTATTAATCATTTCATTACATATATAATAATAACCCATGGAGTTTAAAATGGAGATGACATAAGCCTGGTATTGGTTAGCGATAAGTAAACTTAATTTCCATTATTAACAATACAAGTTGCTTTAAAACCTCTCAAACTCCATAAAATAGCTATGGACTTTCACAGAACTCCATCACCTGATAAAAACAACAAACAAATAACAAAAATAAGACAAAGAAATATTAACAAAAAGATACCACCCTGTAAAAAGATTAACCAACCTTGCCACACATTGGACAAGTGTCACTTCTTTCCATCCATTCATATATACAACCAAGGTGAAAATGATGAGAGCACTGTGTCACTATTTTAGGATTCTCCAAAGTATATTCTGCAAGTTCATAATTTTATCAACACAAGGCCATTAATGATTATGGAAGCATGAGATATGAAAACTTTTTAGTTTTTACCTTCAAGACATGTTGGGCAGACATCTTCATTGTCTGAAGATTGCTCGTAGGGTACCCCTTCTGGAACTTTCACCTTCTCCAGAGACTCTGGAACTCCACATTTGGAATCATCTGTAGAATCAATACCAGATTTTCTCTTTCCAAAATCCAAAAATTCCATACCAGAACTACTCATGCTCCTTCTGAGTGCTTGTGAATCCTCTTGGAAATGTGTCATTGATTTCTCACGTCTTGACACCAGGCCACGTTGCAGACGTGAAAATCTATGGTCTGATTCGTAAGGTAAAGGTCTTGTGGATGAGTGGATTTCATCGTTTAAAGAAGTTGGAAGTGTGAAGCCAACAGAAGATGATGCAGTTCCTTGAATGGGAGATGAAACTGGTAGCCCTTCGATCCTCTGAAACAATGCACCATACTGCATATTGTACAATAGAAAAGAGGATTTCAGAAATCGGAGAAGATGAAGTTGAAGGAGATTGAGAGAGAATGTGAAGGAAATTATGCTTACTCCAGAAAATAATTGGTGGAAAAAGAATCGTAAGCAGAGGCAGTGTCTATATATAGCATTTGTGGGAAATTCTTCCAGGTCATCGCCACACTGACAGCAACAAATCGAATTCATCTCAATGATTACTGATCCGGGCTCAAGCAGCTCAATCGATTGATTATTGATTTCTTAAAGCCTGGTTATGCAATCGGCTAGCTTGAACCTGTAATTGAAAGACAATTCGGTATGAATAGACGATCAATATAATGTTTAGGAGGAAGCTTGAAACTACCCTAATCTTTTATTGGATTTAGGCCACTGTGAGTATCTTTAAAACTCAAGTTTACCCGTATGATTTTAGCATCATGTTAAAAAGGGCATTTTCGATTCGAATTGCACATCAGATGCATGCCGACGATCCATGTAAACCAAAAGAGAGACGGATGGAAAAAGATTTGAAATAGACCACACAACTAACAACCAAAATCAGAATTAGAATCAGAAAGAAGACGAAGGTGTTAGGGTTTCCGATAAAATTACCTGTGGATCATGGCGCCAGTCCAGGGCGACAGCCTTACAACAATCTGCGAATTCCAAGAAAACTGATAACGATTACAGGAATTTGTATTTTACTGAAGGAAGAAGTTTCGAGAGAAGAAAGAAGAGAGAAAATGAAAATGTGTATATGGTCTCCTAAAAAGTAAAACACGCCCCACAATCAACCGACTTTTATTACTCTTTTAGTTGGGAGATACCGACGGGTTTTTCATATTTGTTGGTGGAAAATAATAAAAAGACTCTTTTGCCCTTCCTATTTCCTTTAAAACCCGCTATTGCCCTCTCCTTTTTTTTCCCCAATATCAAGATCGCCTTCCTCTTTCAGTTTAACATAACACCATCGGAGATTTCCTCTCGCAATTCGCAGGCAGTGATACTCCGAAAACCTTCTCAACAGCGAAACCGAATCCACTGGTATGATTTCAGAAATTTTCATAAATATATTGCTTTACTTAATAATTAGGGCTTTGCTATAATATTGATTGCCTCGATTATTAATTAGGGTTTTGCTATAATATTGTTGCGTATCGACAAGGATTGTTTAGTCTGCTATTATATGTTTTTCCTCCATTGCAGTGCAAATGTCGGCATACGAGAACGTTGTTACAGGAAAGCTGAAACTAAAGGGTAAGGCCCTTGACGTCAAAGCTGGTGGAACCAAGAAGACGAAGAAGAAGAAAAACAAAGTTTTATCTAATGAAATCACTCAAACAATCGAGAACGAGTTTTCTGAAGGTAATAATCCCTCACAATGCTTTCCTACATTCATCATACCATATAAGTATAACCTCGATTCTTGATTCAAGATTGCTTTCAGCAGTTGATTCTAATTCATTTCCTTTCAAATTTAACATGTGTTACAGGCATGGAGTTGGAAGAGACAACAAACGATGGGAAGAAATCAAAAGATGGTTCCGGTTCGTATGTAGATAATTTGACTCCAGCTGAGAAGCGTTATATGGATCAACGACAGAAAATAGACATGCAAAAGATGGCAAAAACATCAAACAAATCACATCGTGACAGGATTTCTGACTTCAACCAGTATCTCGCAAACATGAGCGAACACTACGACATCCCAAAAGTTGGCCCTGGCTAAGTAGCAGCTACCATTCCAGAATTGTATTTGCATGCATTTATCTTTTGTTTTGCTACTTTCATTTTGTTGAGCAAATTGAAATGAAATCATGTCAAATAAAAAAAAAAACATCACTTCTACTTTCCTGAATCTTTTGTTTTACTAGTTTCATTTTTTGTTATGCAAACTGAAATCAAATCATGTCAAAAAGAAAACATCACTTTTACTTTCCTGAATCCAAAATCAAAAGACATTTAATTGTACAAAATATTTCTTCTACTTTTGCTTTTGTTTCTAAAAGTAAAACCCTAGTCCCTAGATATACTTCAACCCCGACACATATTGCTGTCTGGATATTAGATACTGAGCTAAGGAATATATAATCCCCAACAGCCCCAAAATCCTTATCTTGACAACATCCGTTATAATCGAAGGAGGCAAATTAAGCGGAATTGTAAGCAATGGCATCGAGTCATTCCTCTTTGTATAACTCCACACAAACCGATTAAACATCACATGACTTGGAATCGTCAAAATCAAAAGAGCCAAATTCTTAACCGCAAAAATCCAATCGGGCCCACCAATCTGCATCCCCCAACCCACATCCCCTTGCCATATCTCCTCCCAAATACTGTAAACCGAAGTCAACATCAAGTAACCCGATATCACAACCGTAACCGGGAAATACCTCTGTTTATCCCCAAATCCCGCAACAAAATCCGAATCCTGGTTCAAAAGCAACAGAATCGGAGCCAAAAAGAATATCGCCCGGTTCGACCCGCCCGTCAAATTCACATTCAAAATCAAACATATCGCGAAACACATCACCGTCGCCACATTCCCGACAGCTGGCATCCACGCCCCCTCCACTGCAATCCGTTTGATTGTGAAAGCGGGAACGGTCAACACGCGGCGTTGATTCATGAACCGCATTTTTGGCGGGAAACTCGCGCTTTGACCGGATTGACTATGTCTAAGACCACCAGCGCCCTGGTCGTTGAATTTTTCACGCATGAGTGAGGCGAGCTCGAATTTGATCTCGAGCGCGATAAGCATGAAAATGGCGGCGTATAACCCGAGAAGTGACGTTCTTGCCCCTTCCACCGCCAGCAAGGCGGTCAACTTACTGTCTTCTTCGCCCACGTCACCGACCCCGGTTTCCGCGAGTAAGGTTTTGATTCTGACCTGGCCTTCTAACAGATAGGTGACTGGGAAGAGGGCTACGAGTAAGGCGAACACCCATGGGAGGACTTTTGTGCTTGAAGCAGATGGGAGGTGTGTGAAGACTACAAATACACAAGTGCACACCATTGTGACAACTATAAGGAGGTGTAGAATTGTTGCTTGGAGGAAGTATTCGGCTGATATGAAGACACCTAAGGCGATTCCCATGGCGATTGAGAATATCATACGTAACTCGACAATGTACTTTATAGGGATGATTGAGGTGACTGCTGCAAGTGAGAGGAGGATTGCTGACATCAGCAGCCATGATGGCCATGTAGGTTTTGATGTGATGAAACCGTAGATTGAGATGTCATCGGTGGATTGTCTGGCGGCTTTTATTAATTCCGAATGGTATGTCCATGATGTTGGGAGTGGCGGCTGCATGATTATGAAAAGGAGTCCGGTTGCTATCACCAGCACCAAGCTTCTTTTAGCAGACTGCACATGAAAAATAATATATTAATAAAAAGAAAAAAAAAAAGAAAAAAAGATTGTTATTACTTATTACCATGACATGAGAAAAGTGAAGGGCAACAATGGGCAAGCAAGCTAATCCGGTCAAGAGTATACAGAATCCCAAAAGTAAACCGCCAGATGGCGATCTCCCGTTCCACCATTGTAAAGCTTCAAAGATTGTTTCGCGACAAAACCAGACCGATAAACCAAAAACTGCAGCATGAGTGTAGCCTTGCCATGGTTTCATCTTCGAGGCTGTTCTTGATCGATCCCTGAAATCAAAAAGAATATATAAAAGTGTGTTTACAAATCATGAAGAATGTAAAAAGGTGAGGGATGGGGAATGGAATAGTTACTTGTATAGAAGCAATGGAGGAGTGACAGCTAATAAAAGAACGGTGGATGCCCATAGAGCGGTTTTTGAGGTCATGAACAACATGGAGAGTTTTGATGAATACAAACAAGTTAACACCCAAACGGCTTTTGATCCGATTTGGTGGTCCACAGAGAGTCTTCTCACGAGGGCTAATCCGAGAAAAGTTGTTAAAAACACCATGTAACTTGGGTACATCACCTCATCATCAAAGCTGTAGTAATATATCCCTGAGTATGTGTAAAAACGATTCTCAATGTAGCATAGGAGTAATGCGTGACTGATCAAACCGACTTCTGTTAGGTAATGAAGCTTTTGGGGAAGAAGGGCTAAACCAGGAACCACCATTGCTAATATGACATCAGCAACTATGAGCTTGCAGAAGGATTTTAATGACATGCCTGCTAGCCAGATGTTGAGGTCCCAGAAATTATGCAAGACAAACCATGTCACCATTAAGCTCCCGAGTATGACAAAAGCGAAATATGATGAGAGGCTCTTTTTTGTGAAAAAACGAGCTAGATAAAATCCAGCTACTGCAGGGAGTGGAAGGAACTACAACATAATAATGAAAAAATAATAACACTTGTGTTAAAAAAAATAATCAAATGCATAGGTCTTTATAGAAACTAATTGTATTTAACAACTAGATTTTCCACTAACAGATTGATAAAATGCTTTAAAAAACTTTTACCCCAACGCATATAAATTTGCATAAAGCTTTACTTATTGGATAAAAAGCTTTTTGCTAGGAGGTCATTATTCTTTAAATGAACTATTCAAAAGGTAAAAAGCTTTTCAAAAAGCTTGCATTGGACTTTCACTTTGGAGATGCTCTAAAAGTAAACATGTCAAAGTTGAGATATTGATAAATGTGGATCCAAGGATTGGGCTCATTGGCAACACCAAAATCTGCCTCAACTCAGTTATGCAACATAGAACAAATTAACTCCAGTAATACGATAAGTCAAGAACTGGCTGCTATTTTTAACTAATAAATCATTATATCACAGTTTCCAAGGTAACCTAGTTTGAGTAGGATTTGAGGGGAAGCATTCAGATTTGGAACTAATCTAAGGAAATTGGTTGGATCACTACCTATAAAGGGTAGGAAAAAGTTTGTGTAAATGTTAATCCAGGTAGCTGCTTTAGGATGTTTGGTCCACGTGATTAATTCTGGCTTAACTTTGTCTAAACACACTTCATCATTACTTAATATGGTTGGACACTTATTAACTAGCCACTTGGAAGAAAATTGAGAGGATTGACAGCTCAATTCATATAAAGAGCAATGTCCATTACTGGGTGGGGAGAAAAAGACAAGCTGAACTACTTTTGATAATCTGGTTAATGACCAACCAAATTTTACAAGGTAAAGAATAGCTTTAAAATGGTAAAGTGACGGTTGAATGAGAAAGGCATGACAAGAATAAAATATAACCTTGATATGAAAAAGATAGCAGTTACTTGAGAATGACATACCAATACAGGAAATCCCACAACGATTGCTCCAGCAGCACTCACAAAGACGGCCAAACCAGTGAAAGCCAATGAACTGGAAGCATCAGCAATCATGCCCATTTCATAAGCACCAGCACCAGCAGCCCCTCCAAGCATAGTTGCAGTGACCAGAAGATAATTCAATGGCCAAGGAACTTGAATATAGCGAGCAAAGGAATGGAAAACAACCCTGACCTCCAAGCAAATGACAACAATGACCAAAGCAACAGCACCATTCACTACTCGAATACTTCTCAGTTGGTGTTCACTCTTGGTGACCCACCAGAGAGCCCCCCTGGTGGATGCATATAGTTGAAACAAGAAGGGAATGAAAAAAAGAAGGAACAAGTCACAGACTGTAGAGGCGGAGGAAAATACAATCGAATAGTGCGATGCAATGTGAAACATCAGAGGGAAGAATAGGAGGTTTAACGTGTGCAAGCAACTCTCGAGCTGGCCAAGGATTAAATTATCATCAGGAACTTCTCCACCATGGTAACTCACTTCTTGCTTCAATTTAAAGGATGAAACGCGAGGAATTGAGTACAGCCAGTAGAAAATGCAGTTAAAGGCCATGTGATAGTAGGAAGCATTGACCATACCAACAGCAGAGACAGTTGCCCAGCTGAAAAGAACCGAAGCTATGAAAGGGATGCAGGCAAAGAGAAGGCGTTCGAGAGCGAGGACGATGGTCGGGTACTCGATTTGAATCCACTTAAACTGAAGGGACGCCCAAACACCAATTAGGAAATTAGTCAGGGCGCATACAAAACAGGCAAGCAAGCCGAGAGGGATCGAATTGAAGGTCACGAACAGAGACGAACTGAAGAAGAAAGTGATCTGTGCAGCTATGAGAGAAAACCACACGGAGAAAAAGGAGCCAGACTTGAAGTTGAGCGAGTCGAGAATGTAAGCGATCATAAGGCCTAGGGTTAGGGCGGCGACGACTGGAGTGCCGCCGAGATCGAGAAGAAAGGCAGCGCATGGCACAAGCGCGATAGCGATCCTAGCGTTGTGGACGAAGGAAGACGGAGCGAAGCGAGAGTTCTTCAGCGATCTGCGAGTACTGCTGCTGCCGTTGGTGTAAATAGGGCTAGGGTTCCTCTCGGGAGAGTGGCCATTATTGAAGGTGGTGGAGAAGCTGGGGGCACTCATCGAAGGAGAGATGTAGGGGCGATATGAAGGAGGTTGGAGCTCCGGCGGTAACATATTCACAGGCGAAGGTTTAATTGATAAATGGGATCTGAGTGCACTGCCGTGGCGAGCTGAGTCGGAAAGTGAGAAGAGTGGTGGGTTTGATCTGAGAGGAGAGGGTTGGGTGTGACGTGTCTGCGACGCTCGCGGCCGTTGGATTACAATTTCATGTGACCCACCATGCATCTACAAGCGTTAGATCGTTTTCTATCTAAATCAGTCCTTCTATAGTTCTATACTTTATTACAATAGGTTGAGCAAATTACTGAAATCGTTCATGTGGTTTGATCAAAATTGCACGTTTGCTTCCTAACTTTTTTTGCACTCGGATCATTCCTGTGGTTTGATTTTGTTGTGTTTTTCGTCCCTATGGTTTGGTAAAAATTACAAGTTTTGTCCTTATCTTTATGTATGTAAGGGACGAAAAATGCAATAAAATCAAACCACATGGACGAAAAACGCAACAAAATCAAACCACGGGGACGATCCGAGTGCAAAAAAAAAATTAGGGACCAAATGTGTATTCTTGACCAAACCATAGGGGCGATTTCAGTAATTTACTCTAATACATTTATAAAACTAGATGAGGATCCCATGTTGCGGGAATGGGTGTGAAAGGAACTGATCAATAATGTAATTTACTAAACTAACTTAAAAGTTACTTCCGTTTAACATGAACATGTTTAGAGTGTAAGGGTGATGTGAGATTTATTGTTTGGTTGATTAACTGGTAATGGGATCCAAAAACTGGAAAAAAAAATTCCACCGAAATGCCCCTGGTCAGTTTGATAACGATTTGAATACTTTAAAGAAAAAAACAACTTACATTACATGCCAACATGTCATCATTAAATAAATCATAAAGAATGCCACACCATCACCATCATGGACCAAAGTTTCCCCAAAAGTCTCTCAACAGCAGCATAAACATTGCCCGAAGTAGCACATAAAACCCTAATATTCTCCTGCAAATCAAAGAACCCCATCTCCTGAAGTTGAGATAGTTGAGTTGCATAAAGTTGCTCTAGTGCCACTACAAATTAAAAACAATAATCATCGTCATCATCATAAATAAAAGTTCAGGGGTAAAAAACATAAATTTACAAAAGAACTTGACTTACCATCAGGGACATTTGGGACTCCCATGCCACCAGCTCCAAGTCCACCAAACATACTCATCAACATGTCGAATCCCATATTGTTTTGTAATCCTGTAGATTAAAAACTTGAAATAATACTAAAATGGCATATGATTTATAAAAATTATTAACAATGGAAGTGTCTAGTTACTACCTGGAGAAGCACCAGTCTGAGTAGGATTCCTGAAACATAAAACTTAATGGGTTGAGCATGTAAAACTGACGAATATTGTGAATTTTGTCTTTTGAAATGTAAGGTTAAAATGGTCATTTAGTCATCCAGACCATCTATTCAGTCTAGAAAAGAAACAGGCCTCGTGTATAGTTGTATACAATACTTTATTCAGACATACAATATAATCCATTCAACTACTTTACCAATGATGGATATATTCAAGTGAATCTTTTTTACTTAATACATAAAAACCAACTTAATTGGATCATTTTGGCACTTAAATCAAATTAGTTATACTAAAAAAAGCATTTCCACTTACAAAGTTGATTGTTGTTGATTAAGCTGGGGTAGAAGCTGCTGTAAAGACATCATTTGTTGTATAAAACAAACCAACTTATCATCAAACTCAAATTTACAACAGTCAAAGTTACAAACCAAAATTACTCCACAATTTGTATACCTACATCATTCGAGGTGAAATTAACTGACGAAGCACTTCTGGATTCTGCATCATTTCCCTCAACTGAGGGTTAGAATCGAACATAGTGAGAAGTTGAGGGTTTTGACTCACAATCTACAAATTCACATCACCAATACCATTAAAAAAATTTATAAATGATCCAATACCTCAACTATAGTGTATATCATCTTTAACATACCTGCTCCATATACTGGGGATTTGAAAGTAAGATTTGCATCATCCGAGAAACAGTTGGATTCTGCAACAGCTGGCTCATGTCCGACGTGCCACTTGTCCTGTCTGCCCCTAGTAAACCACGAACACCTAACCCAGATACATTTGGTGCCCTTGTTGGCTAAAAACCACCTAATCATTTTCACCATACAAAGATATAAGATAATAGTTTAAAAAAAAAAAAAAAAAAAAAAAGTCCTGAATGTGAAGTTTATAATGTCTTTTATACCAGAAGGGGCACCCCCAGGGTTAGGAAGTCGGTTAGAATTAGGAGTTGTAGAGCTTGGAGTTGTTTCAGGATTTATCGCACATACAACATCTGAAGGTCTGACTTCAGTTTCTAAGACCAGAAAATGTGTCATCTCAAATTGAATAAAATATGACTACAAATCGAAATCACTGGGCCGAATCAGATAAATAGCGAATCGAAAACAGACACACAACAAATGGAAACCACATAAATCGAAATCAAAGCCAGATTTGCTCATAAATCGAAACCACATAAATCAAACGTCCAGGAGCATAATTTGCATCAGCCCTGCCGAGGCAATTCAGTATATATAATATAAACAATCTGTATTTCACTCATTATATGTATCTGCACATGCTTATGGTAGTATGAACAGAACTTGTGACACCTGCATAAATAGTGGTACATTCAAGATTAATGAAAAAGAAAGATTTTTTTATTGGGAATCTTATTATTTAATTACTTGATTTGAAGAGCAACTAAACCAATCTTCCCAAGAAGAGCCTCTATGCCAAAGAGCATCTTTCATGGAGAAAACTGAGTGATCTTCTTCTTCGAAGCCTTATTCTTTCCCTCCTCATTCATGTTCGCTTTCATTGAAATTATATGAGATTATCGAAGCCTCTGCTTGTTTCTGACCCGACATTTTCTTCGATTTCAAATAATAAACCTCCTTTTATTCTCTTTTCTAAACGGATTTGTCAGCGCATATAAGGACAACTAAATTAGGATTAACAAAAACGCATCAATTCCCAAATCCATAAACCAATGCCCATGAAAAAAATATAAAATATTGTATTTTTATAAGAACGAAAAACAAAATAAAGGAGTCGGATTCACTGTTCAGTATTTACAGCGGATCAAATCAAATAGGGTTTGGTTTGGAATTGAAAGAGAGAAAAAAAAAAGAAAAAAAAAGGTTTTGAGGGTGATAGTGGATGGTATATGTGTATCAATATGCTCCATTGCTCCTTCTCACATTCTTTCTTTACTTGACGGCTCCAAATCGTGCTAAAGAACATAAGAAGTATGAATACATACTGTTGTTGGGAATCTCCACCACCGGCACAGTTCCTTCATCATTCCTGTCAAATAGGTCAAATCCATGAAGTCAAAAAAAGATCACATACGAAGTAAAGCAGAAAGACGAAATGATTACCCAGAATCAACGGTGGAGTTAACCGATGACAATCAACCACTTCTGCAATTTCGGTGGAGAAGATAGAGTACAATGCATCTTGAATCTTTGTAATCGAATTCCAAAATTAGGGATAAAAGCAGCCACCACCGACAGTGAGGACGGAGGAGGTGTGTTGCAGAAGAAATCATCAGGGTATGATGAAGAAGAATCGAGAATAAACAGTGAAAGCGGTGGAGTTGGAAACCCGATTGGTCGACAAAACGGTGAGGCAAAACCGAAGAGAAGCGCCCGAGGTAAAGTGAGGAAGAAATTGGAAGTGTTATCTACTCTTGATGAAATCAATGTCACGTGTGTATACAGAAATCAAAATCCGATTAGGCAAGGAAACGGTGAAGCAAAATAAAGATAACACGTGTCCATAAATGAATACATATAATGGAAAAAGATGCCTCTACAAAAACGAAAAACAATTGTAAAACAACTTGATAGACAAAGGACCAAAACTGTCAAAAACTCAGGAGCTTCACTGTAGCTAAGGAGGGATAAATTTAATATATATATATATATATATATATATATATATATATATATATATATATATATATATATAATATGGGATAATCAAAATTTAACACAAGGAAATGAAATTTGAACATTTGTATTTAATTTAGATGGTGGAGATCAAAATATAATATAATGATAATCCACATGAAAGAAATTTGACCAATCAAAAAATACATTTCACATTATATATACTACATATAGAGTATTGACCATTGTAAACCCTAATGCTCTTTACCTTCATTTCTCATGCTAAAACTTCACATCCCTGCACCATCTTCCTTTTCTCCCACTAAAAATCGATTTTATCATCTTCATCTTAGACAATCTGAAAACCCTATGACAATCCCCAACTATTGTCGTTACTGTCGTCTAGCATCACCGCTTTCTATCAACATTTTTCGCTCCCATCGTTCTTGGCCGACACACCCTCTCAAGAAAAACTCTTTACACTCTTAAGAAACCTCAACTTCCTCTAACTACCGCCACCGCCATCCTCTGTCTCCAACATCCTAGGCTACGAACACCACCTCATGACCACAAGTGTTAGACATGCAAAGATAATGTCAAAACAAATATGTTCATCTTCTTTATTTTTACTGTTGTATATTCATTCAAAAACAATAGGTGTTTTCATCTTTTTTTTATATTTATTGGATTTGTATTACCTAAAGATTTTAAATTTGGTTGTAAGTATGCATCACTTGGTGTTGGTTTCCTGACAATGAGATGTTTGACTTATCTTTTTAGAGGCCAAAAGTCTTTTTTGGAAAAAGTTAGGTTTTCTGACTTTTCTAAAAAGTTCATTTTCCTTATATTCAAAATCAAAAAGTAGCTTTTAAAAGTGCTTTTACCAAACATCTTTTACCTTTGATCTTTTCCTAAAAGGACTTTTGGTCTCTCAAAAGCTAAGCCAAACACACCCAATGTTCTTATACAATGTTATGAAGTATAATTTCAGATCTTTGTTGTATTGGTACAAATATTGAGCAAAAGGTTTAAGATTAGTAAATGTCTTGACTATTTTGTGTATTAATATTTGTATAGCTTCGAGATTTTTAAGGCAAAATACAGGTATATAGATTTTTTAAGGGAAAATACAGGTATGTAGTAAATGTATTGACTATTTTGTGTATTAACATGTCTATTTAGCTAGAATCTCAAACCATAACTTCAATAAAACAAACTGACCTACATAAATATAATATATGTATAACAAATAATGAAATGTACTATTTTATCCATTAGTTTGATTAACTAATCATAAATTAAATAAAAAAAAATTATGGATTAGATAAATAGAAACTGACAACATTCTTCAGTTTTTGACTAATGAGAAAACTAATTTATAATTTTTTTTTTTACCATTGTTCGATTTGTACGTGTCTTCCTTGCGCTAGGGCCATTTTAATCTTCTCTGTATAGTTTCAATTTTATCTGATGTCCAAGAGAGAAATCTCAAAACGTTTAATTTTTAAATTTGAGTTAAAAATGCTAATGAATTTGAATTTAATGATAAGAAATAACTAAGTTTATTTTTTATATGTTACTTTTGACATTTTTTTTTTATTTTTGATTTATAATATAACTTTTAAATAACTAACGATATGCACAAGATAACTTTTTTTTTTATTATTAATTATATATGTTTCTAGAGCAGTATTAACAATTGAAAGTGAAAATGACAACAAATTTAGTGATCAGGTGATCAATAAGTTCTATGGAAAAGATAAAGTGTAATACAATTTTGACGGAGTAGAAAATGATAAGAACAAATTTTATTCGATGAAAATTTTGAACTCTTTAATTGTGAGGTTTACCCCCTCGCACTTTTCAGCTTAGAATTGGATGATGAAACAACTTGAAGTTTCATTTCAACGCGGTGTATCAAAAAGTTTTACATGATAAGTAAAAAACAGTTGTGTATGGATATTATCGATATCTTTTCAATGTTATGTGTTTTTAAACATACTATTATTTTAATCTCAAAAAATTTATATAGAAAAAAAAAAAAAAAAAAAAAAAAAAAAAAAAAAAAACTAGCCATAGAAGAAACTATATGTTGCCGCAGCATTGCGCGGGTACCCCACTATTACCTTATAATGCATACATAAGTATGAAGCCAATTATTTCTAAGACTTTTATCTTAAAAACAAGGAGCATGTATCACAATTAGCATTTCAGCTAGGAAATTCTATTATTATGTAACCATTCAACTATTGTAAAACATATACTCTAAGTAAATCACATTCAATGCTCATTTAGATTCACCATTCATGTTCATCAAAGAGTCTGAAGCCCTAAGAACCATGGTTTAAGTCCATATTGGACTAGGATTTCCTTATTGGGCCTAATTGACCAATAAGCATCCAATTCAACCATTTTGGGCTTGGAAACCCTATTTGGATTCTAATTGGACCCACTTCCATAAAACTTAGCATTTTGGGCCCAAAATAAATTAGTTTACCCGTAATGGGCCTTATTGGGCCATAAACTCCATTTTTCTTTCAAAATGGGCCGTGAGCTATCTAATGAGCCCATTGGGCCGAAAAGTAATCATTGTGCCTCATGATCTCGAGTAAAGGCAAGTCAAGGCCCAAACTACTCCACCCTTCCTCCTAGCCCCAAAACCCTTGGCCCAACAACATTTAAAAAAATGAAAAATGAAATGGAAAGGGGGGGAGTTGACTTTGGAGGTGCCACCTCCATATTACTCACCATGTAACAAGGCAAGTTATCTCATATTTACATGCAAAGTCACCTCATTCTTCTCTCCCCTCTCCTCTTCTACTCACGACCGAAGGTAACCACACACACACACACATACTACATCAAACTCTATCTAACACTCTCAAGGATATCCTCCTCTTTCCATCAAGAATCTCGAAATTTGCTTGTGTTTCAAGACGGTTTTCACAAGAAAATCATCATTTCTTGGTAAGTCTTTACACACCCAAGTTGTATAACTTCATCCTCGTGTTAGATTACTCCTTTAAGCAAGTTTTTTTGGTAATCATACTCCTAGAAACCTTCCTAAGTTCGAGATCCACTCAAGAAAGCTTGCTAGGTTAAAAAATCTCTTCATCTTTCTTCAAAATCCGAAACATCAAGCAAAGGTGAGTTCATACCCCCTTGTTTTTGGTTTTCATATGATTTTTGGGGGAGAATGCAAGTAAAATGTGTAGATCTATGTGTTATATGCATGTCTTGTGTGATTTCTTAGTTTATGTTGTAAAAATATGTTAGATCTTGGCAAATCACGACTTCTTAAGTAACATTGAGTTAAGATCCATGAACTATGACACCTTATACATCAAACTATCAAGTTAAAATTGCTTTATGTTTAAGATACAAAAATTTAAGGCAAAAACATTGTTAGGGGTCAAAATTGTCAAGAAAACAAAAGATAA